GTCATTGCCAACAAAGGGTATATAACAAAGTATTGAGAAACTTTTGTTATTGACCAAATACTTATTTTCCACCATAATTTGCAAATAAATTCATTAAAAATCCTACAATGTAACTTTCTGGATTTTTTTTTCTCATTTTGTCTGTCATAGTTGACGTGTACCTATGATGAAAATTACAGGCCTCTCTCATCTTTTTAAGTGGGAGAACTTGCACAATTGGTGGCTGACTAAATACTTTTTTTCCCCACTGTATGTATGTACGTATGTATGTATGTATATATGTGGATGTATGTGTATATATATATATGTATATATGTGAGAAAGAAAACAGAAAAAAAACAGTGATGCAGACAACTACATTGATGGAAGTTACAATCTATCTGCAATATTAAAGCTGATCTACCCCCTAAAAAAAAAGAAAAAAAAAAAGAAGGAGAGTGATGGAGTGCTGCATCAGATGACATGGCCTCCACAATCCCCCGACCTCAACCAAATTGAGATGGTTTGGGATGAATTGGACCGCAGAGTGAAGGAAAGGCAGCAAACAAGTGCTCAACATATGTGGGAACTCCTTCAAGACTGTTGGAAAAGCATTCCAGGTGGATTTGTTTGAGAGAATTCCAAGAGTGTGCAAAGCTGTCATCAAGGCAAAGGGTGGCTATTTGAAGAATCTCAAATATAAAATATATTTTGATTTGTTTAACACTTTTCTGGTTACTACATGATTCCATATGTGTTATTTAATGGTTTTGTTGTCTTCACTATTATTCTACAATGTAGAAAATAGTAAAAATAAAGAAAAACCCTTGAATGAGTAGGTGTTCTAAACCTTTTGACCGGTAGTGTATATATATATTTGTGAGAAGAAAAAAAACATATGGGGGATTGGAAGTGATGCAGACAATTACATTGACGGAAGTTACAAAAAAATAATAATAAATAAGAATAATAATAGAAAATAAGAATAATAAGACAGACCCGTATACCACACGGGGAAGAGAACTGAGAATGTGTTAGGTGAAGGATTATGGCATTTAAATCATTGTTTTTGAAAGATTCATCCAGGATGGTGCGATTGGAATATGCTTAGACAGAAAATATTTGAATTAATGTTGTAGCCTACTGTATGTTTGCGAGGTTGAGGGAACGAGAGAGCAGAGTCAGGAGATAGAGGGATAGAGAAAGATTGCGAGGAGGAGAGAAGGAGAGAGCTTGTCAGTCCACGTCAGCACCCGTCCTCCCAGTATGTGGTAATTGCAGGTTTGTCAGAGAAAATGTATTACCTCTCTCATCCACCTCAACCCTCATCCCACTTTCCTCACTCCCTAGCCTTTCCCCTTCTCACCTCTCTATCCTTTCCTCTCTCCCCCTCACCCCTTCCCTTCAAATGTCCCCTTACTCCATTCCTCTTTTGTGAGAGAAAGAGAGAGAGGGGTAGAATGAGAAATAACTTGTGAAACAGCCTGTCAATCCCTGTTAGTCTAAATACATATGAAACAAGACAGTCTTATGCAGTTTTAGAACGACGTTTGCTTGATCTGAACGGTCTAGTTTTAGAACGAAGTTTGCTTGATCTGAACGGTCTAGTTTTAGAACGCCTCATCTCGGCTGCTGGAGTTTCATAGATTCAACATGTCAAATCTTATGTCAAAGTTTTGCCACGAGACGGGTCCGTTTAGCCAATATGAGAGCTATTTTGCAGCAGCTAGCTTGCCTAGCTTGCTGATATTTCTCTGACAAGTCACAAAGTGAGGCCTGTTTCTGGTGCATGTATTTCATGATACTCGTTTGCTACAACACCTTTCTGCAAGTGGCAACTTTGTTTTCAAAGTTTCATCACGTCATTTTAAAGAGGCACTGTTACCATGGAAACAGTCTCAACTGCGCATCTCATCTGTTTGATCTGAATGCCCGGTCTTCAGTCAGCTGTTCTACAACACATCATTCTAAAACTGGCTAGTTTTGTCTCGTCTCGTCTTATGTCGGCTGTTGTATTTGATCTGGGCTTAACAGTGCCACTTGTCCTCCCACTGGGATAATTGCAGGTTTCCTAAAGAAAAAACATGTATTTTCTTATCTCTCTCTCTAACCCCTTCACCCCTCGCTCCTCTCACCCGTTTAGTCCATTCTGCCTTCCTTCATCCCCTGGATATAAAGAGAGCGGTCATACTAATGTCCCATGCCAGATCAACTCCTTTAACCCCTTGGCACTTCCAGAATATATAAAAGGACTGGATAGGTATAATCCGTTCAGATCTACAAAAAAGCATAGTGGGCTAGGGGTTAGAGGTTGGAATTGGACATATGTATCTTCCTAGCTACCCAGCACTCCCCACTCCAGGTGCTAAAAGACCCGATGGTTTCAAGGTGGCTCCTAACAAGCCTTAATTATTCTAACAAGTTATTAGGCTTAACGAGACATAACGAGTGGTGGGATTAATGTGGATCTTGGCTCAGGGTTAGTGGAGAGGAATAAAGCAGCTTGTTGGAGCTGTCAGACTTCTGCCCTCTAGGACCTCTAAGACCTGAAGAAGAGGAGAGAGGAGGAACCGGTCCAAATATGAAAATGTGAATTAAAAAGTAATGTGAAGAGAGTGGAGGAACCGGTCCAAATGTGAAAATGTGAATTAAAAAGTAACAAGGAGAGAGAGGAATTAAAAGGTTATGGAATTAAAATTGTTTTTAAAAGCCAGCAGCAAATATGAAGATATTTCTTCATCACTGGGCTGTAATGGGGAAAAATAAAAAGATAGAAAGCTAGCTAGTAGCCATGAGAAGATTTTGAGAAGATTTTGAGAAGCAAGTAGCCACTGAGAATATTTTACATGCTATAAATAATGCATTATATTATAACATACAACATAGACATAGGCTTATAACTCATCATACTTGTAACCCCATTCACAGCATTTTACACAGGCTGTAAATGCCGTACTAAGCAGCGCTGCACTGCATGGTGCCTCATATGATATGCTCACACAAAGAGACTTCTCTATCGGTATTCACAGGGAAGTGTTAGAGATGTTTCTTTAATAGGACATTAGCATAGATAGCCCTGGGAGAGGAAGTGTGTCAGCCACTCACTGGTAGAGCCATCTACACACACACACACACACACACACACACACAGTCAGCGGTGTCAGGAGACACACACACAGACCTACAGGCGATAGAGGGGGGAGGTATAATAGGAGAGAGAGAAGGAGGGAGGGAGAGGGAAGATAGAGAGAAAAATACATGTAGAGTAAGAGTGAAGCGAGATTAAAAAGAGATGGAGCGAGAAAGAGAGAGCGTGAGATAGAGAGAGAGAGAGAGAGAGAGAGAGAGAGAGAGAGAGAGAGAGAGAGAGAGATAGAGAGAGAGAGAGAGTGGGAGAGAGGGAGAGAGTTAGAGATAAATAGAGAGAGATATATGAGGGAAGGAGTTAGAGAGACCCACAAAGAATTTGAAAACCAATCAAACACTGATAAACTCCCATATGTGTTAGGAAAAATACCGAAGTCGTGCAATCACAGCAGCAAGACGTACAGTGCATTCGGAAAGTATTCAGACCCTTTACTTTTACACATTTTGTTATGTTACAGCCTTATTCTAAAATGGATTAAATTAACAATTTTCCTCATCAATCTACACACAATAACCCATAATGACAAAGCAAAAACAGAAATACCTTATTTACATAAGTACTCAGACCCTTTGCTATGAGACTCAAAATTGAGCTCAGGTGCATCCTGTTTCCATTGATCATCCTTGAGATGTTTCTACAACTTGATTGGAGTCCACCAGTGGTAAATTCAATTGATTGGACATGATTTGGAAAGGCACACACCTGTCTATATAAGGTCCTACAGTTGACAGTGCATGTCAGAGCAAAAACCAAGCCATGAGATCTAAGGAATTGTCCGTAGAACTCCGAGACTGGATTGTGTCGAGGCTCAGATCTGGGGAAGGGTACCAAAAAATGTCTGCAGCACTGAAGGTCCCCAAGAACACAGTGGCCTCTATCATTCTTAAATGGAAGAAGTTTGGAACCACCAAGACTCTTCCTAAAGACTCTCAGACCATTAGAAACAAGATTCTCTGGTCTGATGAAACCAAGATTGAACTCTGGCCTGAATGCCAAGTGTCACGTCTGGAGGAAACCTGGCACCATCCCTACGGTGAAGCATGGTGGCGGCAGCATCATGCTGTGGGGATGTTTTTCAGCGGCAGAGATGAACGGTGCAAAGTACAGAGAGATCCTTGATGAAAATCTACTCCATAGCGCTCAGGACCTCATACTGGGGCGAAGGTTCACCTTCCAACAGGACAATGACCCTAAGCACACAGCCAAGACATCGCAGGAGTAGCTTTCGGGACAATTCTATGAATGTCCTTGAGTGGCCCAGCCAGAGCCTGGATTTGAACCCGATCTAACATCTCTGGAGAGACCTGAAAATAGCTGTGCAGCATCTGCAGAAAAGAATGGGAGAAACTCCCCAAATACAGGTGTGCCAAACTTGAAGCGTCATACCCAAGAAGACTCGATGCTATAATTGCTGCCAAAGGTTCTTCAACAAAGTACTGAGTAAAGGGTCTGAATACTTATGTAAATGTGATATTTCAAAAAAAATTTTGCTTTATCATTATAGGGTATTGTGTGTAGATTGATAAGGGGGGAAAAAAACAATTTAATAAATTTTAGAATAAGGCTGTAATATAACAAAATGTGGAAAAAGCCAGTGGGTCTGAATACTTTCCGAAGGCACTGTATATGCATTTAGCAAAACATTTTAATACACAGCTAAAATCTATTAATAATACATCTGAGAACAGTAATATTTTACACACACATGAAGGTACCCATAAGCAATCATTTCTGGTAAAAAAAACACAAATGTGAAAAATTGTCATATATAGCGTTTTGGAAATAAACTCTTCCTATACACTTCTTTAATGATTTATTAACCCTTTCTAAATGTGTCATTAACCCTTTATAATCCTCTTATTAACCCTTCCAGGGAGGGAAGATCCCCATCCGATGGACGTCTCCAGAGGCTATTGCCTACAGGAAGTTCACGTCAGCCAGTGACGTGTGGAGCTACGGCATCGTCATGTGGGAGGTGGTCTCATATGGAGAGAGACCCTACTGGGAGATGTCCAACCAGGATGTGAGTAGTTTCATTATGATAAAGCACAGTGTCGGTGTATAGCTGATACGGTAATGATTCATCAATGATTTTCTATTGATGGCTGTTCTTGTCAATCATGGGTTGGTTTGGCGCAAAAGCTAGGTGGACTCAGTTGGCTTTCTCTCCCAAACTCGGTGGGTGATTACTGTGATTGACTAAGGTCCATCTAATCCTCCCTTATTTTTCTTTCTCTTTCTTCCTCTCTAGGTGATCAAAGCGATAGATGAGGGTTACCGTCTTCCGGCCCCTATGGACTGTCCTGTGGTCCTCCACCAGCTGATGTTGGACTGCTGGGAGAAGGGCCGCAGCGAAAGGCCCAAGTTTGGGCAGATCGTCACCACCCTGGACAAGCTGATCAGAGACCCAGCCAGCCTCCGAGAGCTGGCCAACAGCTCATTATGGTGAGTTACAATGGGTCAAAACCACAGGCACAATCAGCACCACTATAGATCCAAACCCAGTCTTCAAGCACACACTGTCATATCCAGAATAAACTATTAGAACTAGTACTGTATCTGGAGTGTTTTGTCTTATTTAACTATGCTGAAAAGAATGTGCATATTCTCTCCTGTTTGCCCAGCAGGGAAGACCCGACCACTCCAGAGTTCAGTGTGAGTACGATGGAGGAGTGGCTGGATGCCATCAAGATGGGACAGTATAAGGAGAACTTCTCCAGCGCTGGATACGTCACCCTGGACTCTGTCCTCTACATCAGCATCAGGTGAGAGACATGGGCAGAGCTTGCCTGGGCTGGTGCTGGGCTGGGGCTGAGGCTGAGGCTGAGGGCTGGGGAAAGGGGAGTAGGAGGAAGCAGAGCTGGAGAAAAGGGGAGTCTGTTATCAATTTTGTCATTTTTCTAACTCCCTTCTTCCTCTGTCCTCTCCTGTAGTGAGCTCGTTAAGATGGATGTGACCTTGGCGGGTCACCAGAAGAAGATCCTCTCCAGTGTCCAGATCCTTCAGTCCCAGGGGACCCACATCCAAGTATAACAGTTTTCCTATAGAGACACACTGGGAGGGAAAGCCAAAATGGATGCTCTTCTCTGAGTTTACCCATTGAGACACGCTGAGATTGAGCCAACATGGACATTCTGGGTTCGGTTTCCCCATACAAAGACAATGAGATGGAGCCGTAATGGACGCTTAGTTCCTTTACTTCCTCTTTGTAGTTTTACCATTCCACCCGTCCTGGTTGTTTTGATAGCGTAGACACTTCCAGCTTCAGTCCACGCCCTCAGAGGCCTAGCAACCCAGCAACCTAAGATACCAGGCTACAACCAAGACATCTCAGTCCATATCAACAACAACAATAACAAAACTAAAAAATAAAATGTGATTATAATTCTCATCATTGTCTGTGAAGTTTAGTGTACAGTTGTTTTTATGGTTGTTTCTTTTTTTCGTTTTATGATTAGCTTTGTTTATTTTCCACACAGTTTACGTTACCAGTATTGTATATGTATAGATAAGCGTTTACAAGAGCTGTGTGTCAGTCCGCCATTCTAGAACTCAACGTAAAGTTGTTATCAGTCGCCAGGCAACGCAGGTGTGCTGTTCCTTCCTGGTGCATGTAGTTGTTAGGCTCCTCCCCTTTCTATAAGCCCCAAAACGCTATTGGACCAATCATGATGTGTGGGGGAGATAGGAGAAATAGAAAGATGTGAAAATATGAGATGGAGATGTCTATTCTTTGTCTTAGAAGGCTTCCGTTGCATTTGGCAAGGGATAGATACATGTAGGGCTTCCATAGCCATGACTTCCAGACGCACACAGTTCACTTGAATGAGATGCCCTGCCAGCTTTCATTTAGTACAGCCTACAGCGGCAACCTATAAGATGTAGTTAGTCAGAAACCTGCAGAACAATACAGTGTTAGTACATTATCTTCCAAGAGTTTACCTCCTCAGTTGGAGAAGCTTGCTGTAATGGTTTGTGACAGAAGAAGAGCAAAGTAGATAATCATTTATCTGTGAAGTTGACACTGTTTGGAATGTATATCTGTTTCTCAGACGTTGTGCCATGTATAGTTAGTATTGCTCTGAAATGTTGGGCAAAGTCAGACAAGCAGTATTGGTTGTGAGGTAGACTTGACTTGAGTAGAGTGGTGGTTTTTGCCTCATTTCACCCCTGATGAATATGGGTTTAGTCACAGTTTGTGCTAACCACCTCTGTTCAGTGACTAATATGGGTTTAGTCACAGTTTGTGCTAACCACCTCTGTTCAGTGATTAATATGGGTTCAGTCACAGTTTGTGCTAACCACCTCTGTTCAGTGATTAAAATGGGTTTAGTCACAGTTTGTGCTAACCACCTCTGTTCAGTGATTAATATGGGTTTTAGTCACAGTTCAGTGATTAATATGGGTTTAGTCACAGTTTGTGCTAACCACCTCTGTTCAGTGATTAATATGGGTTTAGTCACAGTTTGTGCTAACCACCTCTGTTCAGTGATTAATATGGGTTTAGTCACAGTTTGTGCTAACCACCTCTGTTCAGTGATTAATATGGGTTTAGTCACAGTTTGTGCTAACCACCTCTGTTCAGTGATTAATATGGGTTTAGTCACAGTTTGTGCTAACCACCTCTGTTCAGTGATTAATATGGGTTCAGTCACAGTTTGTGCTAACCACCTCTGTTCAGTGATTAAAATGGGTTTAGTCACAGTTTGTGCTAACCACCTCTGTTCAGTGATTATATGGGTTTAGTCACAGTTTGTGCTAACCACCTCTGTTCAGTGATTAATATGGGTTTAGTCACAGTTTGTGCTAACCACCTCTGTTCAGTGATTAATATGGGTTTAGTCACAGTTTGTGCTAACCACCTCTGTTCAGTGATTAATATGGGTTTAGTCACAGTTTGTGCTAACCACCTCTGTTCAGTGATTAATATGGGTTTAGTCACAGTTTGTGCTAACCACCTCTGTTCAGTGATTAATATGGGTTTAGTCACAGTTTGTGCTAACCACCTCTGTTCAGTGATTAATATGGGTTCAGTCACAGTTTGTGCTAACCACCTACAGTGGGGAGAACAAGTATTTGATACACTGCCAATATTGCATGTTTTCCTAAATACAAAGCATGTAGATGTCTGTAATTTGTATCATAGGTACACTTCAACTGTGAGAGACGGAATCTAAAACAAAAATCCAGAAAATCACATTGTATGATTTTTAAGTAATTGATTTTCATTTTATTGCATGACATAAGTATTTGATACATCAGAAAAGCAGAACTTAATATTTGGTACAGAAACCTTTGTTTGCAATTACAGAGATCATACGTTTCCTGTAGGTCTTGACAGGTTTGCACACACTGCAGCAGGGATTTTGTCCCACTCCTCCATACAGACCTTCTCCAGATCCTTCAGGTTTCGGGGCTGTCGCTGGGCAATACAGACTTTCAGCTCCCTCCAAAGATTTTCTATTGGGTTCAGGTCTGGAGACTGGCTAGGCCACTCCAGGACCTTGAGATGCTTCTTACGGAGCCACTCCTTAGTTGCCCTGGCTGTGTGTTTCGGGTCGTTGTCATGCTGGAAGACCCAGCCACGACCCATCTTCAATGCTCTTACTGAGGGAAGGAGGTTGTTGGCCAAGATCTCGCGATACATGGCCCCATCCATCCTCCCCTCAATATGGTGCAGTCGTCCTGTTCCCTTTGCAGAAAAGCATCCCCAAAGAATGATGTTTCCACCTCCATGCTTCACGGTTGGGATGGTGTTCTTGGGGTTGTACTCATCCTTCTTCTTCCTCCAAACACGGCGAGTGGAGTTTAGACCAAAAAGCTATATTTGTGTCTCATCAGACCACATGACCTTCTCCTATTCCTCCTCTGGATCATCCAGATGGTCATTGGCAAACTTCAGACGGGCCTGGAAATGCGCTGGCTTGAGCAGGGGGACCTTGTGTGCGCTGCAGGATTTTAATCCATGACGGCGTAGTGCGTTACTAATGGTTTTCTTTGAGACTGTGGTCCCAGCTCTTTTCAGGTCATTGACCAGGTCCTGCCGTGTAGTTCTGGGCTGATCCCTCACCTTCCTCATGATCATTGATGCCCCACGAGGTGAGATCTTGCATGGAGCCCCAGACCGAGGGTGATTGACCGTCATCTTGAACTTCTTCCATTTTCTAATAATTGCGCCAACAGTTGTTGCCTTCTCACCAAGCTGCTTGCCTATTGTCCTGTAGCCCATCCCAGCCTTGTGCAGGTCTACAATTGTATCCCTGATGTCTTTACACAGCTCTCTGGTTTTGGCCATTGTGGAGAGGTTGGAGTCTGTTTGATTGAGTGTGTGAACAGGTGTCTTTTATACAGGTAATGAGTTCAAACAGGTGCAGTTAATACAGGTAATGAGTGGCGAACAGGAGGGCTTCTTAAAGAAAAACTAACAGGTCTGTGAGAGCCGGAATTCTTACTGGTTGGTAGGTGATCAAATACTTATGTCATGCAAGAAAATGCAAATTAATTACTTAAAAATCATACAATGTGATTTTCTGGATTTTTGTTTTAGATTCCGTCTCTCACAGTTAAAGTGTACCTATGATAAAAATGACAGACCTCTACATGCTTTGTAAGTAGGAAAACCTTCAAAATCGGCAGTGTATTAAATACTTGTTCTCCCCACTGTATGTGAGAATGCTGTTCATTGACTACAGCTCAGCGTTCAACAACATTGTCCCCTCCAAGCTCGTCACCAAGCTTGGGACCCTGGGATTACAGACCTCTACAAGCTTTGTAAGTAGGAAAATCTGCAAAATCGGCAGTGTATCAAATACTTGTTCTCCCCACTGTATGTTCAGTGATGCCAACTGCTTCCAAATCTATAATAGTCAAGGCCTGCTAACCTAATTTCCTGGATAAGTAAAGAACATCAGTGTTCTGTACTCAACAGAACAACATTTACTACATATCAAAACCAACATCCCCCTTGCTTTGGGGAGGGAAGAGTGGAGTTTTGGACTTATCCATGAAAACCTGTTTAGGGGTTTAGTTGGAAAATGGCCATCATTGTGCACTGTACCCCTGTATGTATCTGTTTATGATAACAGTGTTATTCTGCTACCTGACTGGACTACAAACATAGCAACATACAATATATACCATTGTACCATAGTGTAAAATATGTACAGTGTTGATTTGAAACTCTAGAATGTTTGTAACAATAATGGTGATGATGACAATGATGATGATTACGTTGATAACGATGGTGATTATATACTTTTATTCTGAAGGAGGAGAGAAATTGTGTTTTTTCTTGTGGAGGCGGGTCATAGGAGATGAGGCAGCGTGTGATTCGTTGACCTGATCTATGGAATGTACGTTGCGTAGCATGAGTATTAAGCTTCGGCCTTTGATTGAAAGGTGACAGTGACTGCAGTTTTCCCTCGGGCGGACGACCTGAGGATGCTCAACTTTTAGATGCCTTATTTACTGTGCTACCTTTCTTTTCTGTCCCCTGTCCCCCCTGCTCCCTATAGAGGCAGTGTTATGAGTATGTCTGTATACAGTATTCATCTATTTCCCCGAGGTGAAGTCACAGAAAATATCTGGTTTTATAACTGAAAACACCCCGGCTGTTAGCATCTCTGTTATTATTCCTAAACTTTATACTGCTGCTGTCCCACTGGGCACACAATGGTTGAATCAACGTTGTTTCCACGTAATTTTAACGTAATTACGTTGAACCAATGTCGAATAGACGTTGAATTGGGGTAGGGTGTCTACCACCTGTTTATTGGATACTGTATTGAAAAGTACATTAGAGAGTAAATTGTTCTGTTTTGGTTGAAGAATTTTACTTGTTGGTTTACCTGTGTAAACTAGGTGGTGAATTTACGGTAGACAAAAGTTATTAAGAATTGTACTTGTTGGTTTACCTGTGTAAACTAGGTGGTGAATTTACAGCAGAGAAAAGTAATGAATATTCCCTTTATATCCCAAAGCTATTTAAAGTGGTTCCAATGTCTCCCACACAGATACAAACACACAACATGATG